CCTCGGAAACCCAAGGAGGGGTCGCTGTGATTCAGGTCCAACTCGATGGCACATAACAACAACAACAATTGCAGAGCCTGATGATATGACCCTAGAGAAGGTGATATGGGAAATTGGTACAGACCAGAAACTTCCCCTTCTTACTTAAACAAGTAATCACTCAGATGTACCAGGAGCTGCTCTCCATCCAGGCAATATCAATCACAGTTCCCCCCACCCACTCTGGCCTATCAAGATACTTCTAAAATCTGCAATCTGGAAAGGATCAGGCCTGGACTCAGGTGGCTGGAAGTATTGCACTAAGAGAAACAAGATTTCTGGAAGGAGAACTGCCAGCCATGGTGTGTTACACTCTAATCTAGTTCCATCTTTGCACCATCCATCTTAGAGACAGCTAGGTTGGCACAAGCCCAGGCCACACAGAGAGGGCTTGGTGGTCCTTAGATTCAATTATCTGTGGTAATCTGTGTGGCCTTAAGTGACTGACATTGACATGAGGAGTCATGGGTCTATATTTAGAGCAAGAATCTTGATAGGCTTTTCCTCCTTTTCTGCACTGTTCTCTCTGAAAGACAATCCAAACCCATTGTGTCATAGTAACCCTATAGGACAGAGTAGAACCATCCCATAGGGTTTCCAAGACTATAATCTTGATGGAAGCAGGCTACCACATCGTTTTCCCATTGAGCCACTGGTGGGTTCAAATATCCAACCTTTCAGGCACTGTGCCACCAGGGCTTCTTTTTTTGGCAGACGAGAGAAACCTAATCCCTCTACTTCCTCACTATTTTTGGGTTCCTGCACTGACCTAAGAAAACTGAGACAAAAGATTGAGGAGAGAAGGGCACACAAACCCGCTTTGAGTCTCCATTTACTCTGGAATGAGCCAGGTAGATAGGATAGATTTAGCTGTTGGCAAAGCATTTTGTGGAATTTCAGAATCAAGAGCCAGGGGAAGCTGTGTGACTGAATTCGGAAGAATCACATCAAATCTGTGCCATCTTCACTGATCATTAACAGGACAAGAAAGGAAATTGCATTCAAGCATCCACATATTCACTTCATATGAGAATTTTGCACTGTGCCCTTCTTGACAAAGCATACGTTACTTTTTATCAGAAAATGAGAACTCTAAAATTTATCATATTTCTTTTTGCTTTCTAATAAGAAACTCAGGATCATAGGTAAAGCTTAGTTGTACTGTATCATTTTTGATTCCAATATCATCATTTCCTTTGTGGACTCTGCTTTTCCCTCCATTTTAACCCATTAACCCATTGATCCATTACCGTTGAGTTGGTTCCAACTGATAGCAACCCTGTAGGACAGAGTAGAACTGCGCCATAGGGTTTCCAAGGCTGTAGTCTTTACAGAAGCAGACTGCTTCCCATGAAGTGATTGGTGGGTTTGAACTGCCAATCTCTTAATTAACAGCCAAGCATTTAACCACTGTGCCACCAGAGCTCCTTTTAATTGGGTACAAGGGTGATTAATCAGAAACCTTCCTGAATAAGCTGGGTAGAGATGAAGAATAACATGTTAGTGAATGAGGTGAGAGGGTTACCAATGCTTTCTGCTTTGTTTTCTTTCTCATAGAACATGGAAGCTGTCTGACCAGGGCTGATTTAGTGAGTAAATACAGTCTGGTGACTCAGAAATGGTACTTAATTAAAAAACAAAGCAACAGCAGTTACAGTAAGATGGCAGAATAGGCAGACAGACTGCACAGACCTTCTTCAACAAAGAAAAGGGGAACCAATTAACACAGATACAGAGGATAATCCTGAAGCCCTGAGCTTTGAAGGGAAAGATATAGAAGTGGAATAAACTCCAACTAGTAGAAGAACTTGCATGGAAACACCAAAAAAGGAGACATATGGACCTGTGGTCTGTCAGCGATCCTGAAGACACAGACAGCTTGGATATTGCTGAGTGGTGGTAGGACCTAAGAATTAACCTAAAAATTGGCCCTGCTAGCTAGGGTCCACATGGAGACAGAACCGCTGGTGGCTGGTGAATAAAAGGGGAAGCAGTGAAGAGGAAGGCGGGCTGAGCTGTGGACTTTTGCCTGTCTGGAGAGTGCAGCCATTTTGAATGTTTACAAGCGGTTAGACCATTTTGGATATTTAAAGTGACAGCATTCTCCCAGGTTCCAGGGATTTAAGAATAGGCTCCACTTGGTGGGAAACACAAGGACAGTCCAGATGCCACTGACTGAAAAGTTGCGATATTCCCCCTTGTCACTCTTATCCCCCACACCCTCTTGGTGAATGGAAGTGTGGCCATCCCTCACTCCCACCCACTTTCTGTGCTGGCAGGAATTCCATCCCAGTCTGTGTGCTAGGATGGAGCCTGGGTGCCCTGCCCTGCCCTGCCAAGATTCCCCCCCCACACACACACACCTTTTTTAGTTTCTTTGTTTTTGTCTATTTTTAAATTATTATTATTATTGTCCTTTTTATTATTATTCTTTATTTCTCCCTTCCCAGGTTCTAGTTTTCAGCTTTTTCTCTCTTCCCTGCCCCTGGTTCCCATTTTT